ATTATTATTATTATTATTATTATTATTATTATTATTATTATTATTATTATTATTATTATTATTATTGTGTCTCATCTTTCCATGTCAAACTAATCTTGCAGTTTGTATAAATCGCCAAAGTTGACCCTTTTATTTGACTGACCTGTCTGCCTTTTCACAGGTTTTGACTAACAAAGAAACCAATGAACTGCTCCTTTGCATTGCCTACGTGTTGGAGGTCTCGCAGGAGGGTTGCGGGCCGCAACATCATATCTACCGTTTGACTAGATTTACATGAGTCTTCCGTGCACACTTCACCACCCCGTCCAGCTCCCCTACCTCCTCTTCCTGTCGCTCCGCGTATACTCTTGTGCCATCTCCTCACGGCCCCCCCCATCAGAGACAAACACGTCCAGACGTGTTGTGCACAGACGGTGTATTGTGTGAATCCGCCCTTTGTCACCAGGGCTTGGCGACATCACAGACCCTGGGTCCCACCTATCTCCGATCCCCACCCCACCCCCTTTCCCAACCCGGTGCCAGCTGCACACTGCCTTCAATAATCCCCTCTGATCCACCTCTTTTGTGTCCGTCACAGTCTCGACTTGACACTCGTCAAAGCATTTGTTTGCCTTGCCCAGCCGAACTCACTCGGCCCTATTCTGCAGCCGATTTGCAGACTTCCGCCACTCCTGGACTCCGTCAAAGTCTGCAAACAAAGGACTTGGTAAACATATTTTTTGTCTTTCCGCCAAAATGACGCGTCCATTGTGTAGAGTAATTCAACTTGTCTTTTTCCCCCGTACACTCGGTACCACATGTCTCCTCCTCTTCCTCTTCCTCCAACGCATTCTTTCCCACCCCGAACCGGCTCTAAGTTTGACGGAGTGATTAGATCGTCTCACTCTTCCCTTGCACGGCAGTTGATCTACCCTCCTCCAGACCCTCCACTAAGATCGGCATTCGCAAATAGCATCACTTCCGTCAAAACCGCCTTGACATGGGCACATCTACCGCAGACACACATACAAGTCGGCACACCCGCGATGACATACACCAGCAAATCCATCCAGCCTCCGAGTGGAGGCTGATAATTCGTTCATATCTGCCATTACAAATCCCAAATAAAACTTACTCACGGGCATTTCTTCTCCTCTAAAGGTCATACCGAGATTGCATCCACCTAGCCAGGCCAAAATTACTTTTTCATATGCCTGCACACCTTCGTATGACTGTCTATCAGTGACTATCCTTTTTCTCGGTTCACATCTTTCTTGATCTGGCATCTTCATTGCCTTTACAGTTTACTCGCCAGTCGTCAGGCGACTCTCTTATTCGCTTTGTTTCTCGTGTCAGGACACACGATTCCGTTCTGCCCAACCGTCCCGTGGCTGGAGGCGCGGTTGGCAACTCGAGAAGTCCTTAATCCGATGCAACCGAGTCACTAGGGCCGTTTCATCGCCGCCCCACCTCGTCGTTGTGTAGATAAGACGATGCTTCTCTGTTTACTCCCGTGCAAGCGATGCCACAGTCGTCGATCCCGGGCAGGATCAGATCGGTCCTCTGGTCGGAAGGGGGGGAGGAGGGGAGGGAGGTGGTATCACACTCCCCGCGAAGGGCAGAACCGGAACATGTCGGCTTTGGCTGCACCTTCGTCTGCAGTTCGAGTCTCTCCTCTCACTCCAGCCTTTTCTGTGTACATTGCCTCAAGACAAAATCGCCCGACTACAAAGTGAACCACGTCATCGGCTGTACAGGACACACTCATCCGCGACGCTTAATGCGCACGGTGTCTGCTCGAAACGGGCTCCCCTGGAGTTGCTTAGCTCCAGACTGTGCACCTTGACGACAACCCTGTACCTCATATTTTCACCTACACCCTTCCATTCTCCTCTCTTGCTCCTGTGTTTCTTCTATCTCGTCCCACTCGGACATTTCGTCCTAATTGCCTCGCGTCTAGCTCTTCGGTCCGACACATCGGACGCCTCTTCTCCGTTTCTCGCCGCTATATCGTCTCTTTTGCGTGTTTTTCCCATTTTTCTCCTTTTTTCTTGCCCGATCTTACCAGTTTTTTATAGCCTCTGATACCTTCTTACTCGTCAATAATGTGTACTCACACAGCCCCGCCGATATATGTGCACACATGCATGCATGCATACAGAAAGGGAAAATCCGGGTAAGGCTATCCAGTTTTTCCAGACCCCTTCTGGATCCTCAATCATGTCCTGTCTTCATTGCTTCTAATGCCACTGCCTTGCAGATCTGGGCTTCATTAATTCGCTTTCCCGCCGTCCTAGTTGCCGCCTCAACTGGCGGCTCTAGTCCACTGGAGGAACCAGAGCCGCGGACACAGGACACACAATGTTATTGTATTTAGCAATCACATCTCCGACACACGAACGCCATTCAGGCAGTTTCACACTCTAACATGTACACATGCCAACGCATGAACACTGACAGGCGCACAAATTGTGCGCCACCTTTTGTTCGAGTCATTCTTCCTCGGACGCACCTCATTCGTCCACTGCTCAGTGTCGGAGTCATTTGATCCCTTCGGTACTGCTGCCCGCGCCGGCTTACATAGCCACAAACGCAACACCAGCAACAATAACAACTGTGAGAGCCTTGTGTGCAGCAGACAGGCGTGGACACCGGCTTCCCTCTAGCCGTTGAGGTCGATTTGTATATATGAAATATTCCCAATAAAGGGATATTAGGCATGAATGTAGACGAGATCACCTCTTCCGTGGTGGTCACTTTCATTTCGTGTGAAAATGTGTCTGAGATAAGGTGAATTCGTGGTTCTTGAGTGCGATTTCATGCCGGCAGAAACTTCAAGTTAAAGCTACAATGATGTAGAAGCTAAAATGATCGACATAGATATCGAAAATAGTTGGCTACTATTCTTTCCGTTTGTGTAAGCCCTGAGTCACAATCAAATCTGTATCCTTCTAATATATTTATCACAGTAAGTAATCTTAACTTAGGAGTTGTTTGAATTGTTGAGCCCACTTGCATTTCGATTACAAGGTCTGCTTGAAGAGATTCGAAGGTAAATCCCGCCAGAAGAGGGCGATTGAGTTCCCTTGACTAGCTGTCGATTGGTTTTACTGGAGCATTCTTGTTGGCGCTGTTTTCGAGGCAGTCCCCTTACATTCCTGTGAAAGCAGGCTAGGCCATCTATCGTCCATCACATGATGGACATAATCAAAGCAGAGTATCATTCTAACAGTCTTATTCAAATTGACAAGTTTTCTTGACTCGTCGTGTGACGGAGATTGCCTCAAAAATACCGTCAACAAGAATGTTCCATTAAACGCGAGTAGCAGTTGGGCTTCGAGGAATCTCTTAGTTTATAATTGTTGAGTTCACTTCCATTTTCACTGAAAGTGCATAGTGAAGAGTTTCGAATCCTCCGTTATCTTCTGATAGGATCGACCTTGGAATACCTTCGCCAAACGCTTTCACTTGAAGTGGACGTGAGCTTAACACTTATCAACAACGAGACCTCGAAACTTTAATCCTATTCGCAGATACTTTGCATACATTTTTTGAGAGAACAAGATCCAGTTCTGATAGTGTCTGTCAGGTGGCGTGACAAACTAGGACTCAAACAGGAAAGGACTAAATTAAATTTGCAGGCCAACCTACGAAGATCTTTGTCACACATTCACACGAAATGAGACTATGATGCTTAAACGAATAAATGCAGTTAACAGGTTCAGATGCTTTCCTTCCTACTATCGATGGCACCAATGTCGATAACCCACTAAATACATACAGTATTGAGGAGGATATTTGCTTAATCGAGTAATCTTTAAGCAAGAATTTCGTCACCCTATGTCGGTTTAAGGTGAGTTAGCATCAGATGATGAAATTTTTACCACAACGATCTTTTTAGGCGTCACAATACCATTAAATTTCACCAAACATTGCCTTCGAGCTGATTTCTAATTCAAGGTAGACTGCATTTTAGATCTTGCCCCGTTCGCTTCTATCAGTAACTCTGGTTTATGCAGCCGTTGAGCATGTGCTAGGAGATGGGTGGGTCAGAGGGTAACCATGATTATTTATAAGCTTAGATACTGAGGACTGTAAGTTAAAGTAATCTTTGTTGTCCCAAATGTTTGTTGCTAAGATGAAAGACCATTTAAGGGATGGGGGGGTTGAGGTAAGAGACTTGATTTTTCTACAGTATTCAACAAATAGACATAGTTTTCGTAATTTGACCATACCTACAGGAAGACCTCGAAAAACCTGTCTGTTTCTGGACTCTCTGATGACCTTAATATCGGTAAAAGGGCCAGAATACGAGAGAAATATGAAGATAAACATATCCAAATTGCGATTTCGAGGCTGTCCGCCTCCAGCAAGAAGGAAGGACTCCAAGGGCAAAAAGCCAACATGGAATAATGCTCAATCTGTAAGTCTTGTCTAGTAGCTTCAACAGTTGAGCTTACTTCCATTTCTCGTGAGAGTCTGTACAAAATAACTTCATTGGTAGATTTCACATCTTTACAATCTTCAAGTTGACTTGTCTGGAATATTTGGGTTGACACAATCCTCGAATAATTGTCGCTAGCTTCCGGTGAAACCACACCAACTCGGATTTGGTGAATGAAATAATCTGGGTTTTGAAGATTGATAGTGGCATACCTTTCAGTTCGTTTGAGAAGGCGAGTGAAAGGGAGTCGTAAATTATACAACTCTTCATCCAGGCTCATAATGCTACCATCCTGTCAGCTTTCGGAAAAGATGGACGAATAACTGACGAAATGAAGCATCAAGACTATGTTAGAAGAAATATTAACGCTTTTCTTGGTCACGTGTTATTTTAGAGAATCGTCAACCGCCCTCTAAAAATAAGGTTTTTTGAGATGTATTCACCCTATTTCGTTTAAAGTGATGAAGGACTGGTAGAAGAAGAATTTTCCCACAATGCTATGAGTTGAGCTGACGTTTCCATTGAATTTCACATAGCCTTGCTTTCCCAAAAAATAAGGTTTTTTATAAGATTTTGTGCTCATGTGGTGATATTTACGTGAAGGAGACTTGTCGATCTATATTTAAGATGCTATCACAATACCAATCCGCTTGCAAAGCTATATGGATTTAGAAATCGGATGTAACTGAACCTGTGATCGTTACAGGACACCGGACATAATGGCGAAAATCCCGTTTTGCCAAACATGGGGACTTGACGGCTAAGCGAGAGATCAGGGAATCGAATGAAATTACCTGAAGAAAGGACATCCTGAATAAGAGAAACGAGTGTAGGAAACTAACTATGAACTACCGCTGGCTGCTGAATAGAATTAGAGGGAGAGAAAGGAAGAACTACCGAGTAAAATGAGAAGAATTGACTAAGCTGGAGTCTAGTTATGGACCCAGAATTGTCAACCAACACGTGAGTGTTGCATGCATACACGAAGCTAAAAGAATCCCCAGGTTTATGGGATCATACGCTGGCTTATTTGAATAGACAAGAGAGGTGACCACATCTACTCTCCTTGCTTCATCAGCTTCGCTCGCATACATCCATACAGAACAAGCATAGAAGAACCTAGCAAATCATAGAATATTTCGTTTTGAGTAGGTTTTCGAGACTACCAGTAAACCAGATTTCACAGTTATATTCACCCTATTTCGTCTAAGATGATGAAGGAGCTGACGTTTCCATTCAATTTGACATAACCCTGCTTTCCCAAAAGGTGTTTTCATTTAGGGCACTCTGCAGTTTCGACCTTGCCTAGGTCTTAACAACACCTCCAGCGGGAGTCGAACCATGACAGTGTAGCATGCATCTCGACACGTGAACCACTCTGCCACATTGTCAGGAGTGCCCTTGGGTCACAGGGCAGATGTGAGTTCCAAGGAAGGCCAGGCATTTTTCAGTATCATATTGTTTGGTGGGATTGTTGATGAGGCAAAGTTATACTTGCCATGACAATCGACGACATTATTTATTTTTCATTCATAAGTAGGCTTTCGAGACCATCAATCTTCATCACCATAATCGAAAAGGATGAATACATTTAATATAAATGATTTCCTGGTAGTCTCGAAATCTCACTTATTAAATGTGAAATTAAATACAAACATCAGCTCTACTCATATCATTGTGGGAAACTTGACTTGCCAGTCCCTCATCACCTTTAACAAACTAGGATGAATACATCTAATAAAAACGGTATAGTGTTGGAATATTTCGTAAAGTATGGTTTTAAATAAATAAATAAATAAATACATGTGTGGGTGTGTGTGAATATATGTATATATGCCAAGGCGAAAAAGCTTAGTCGCCATTGATTAAATGATCTCTTAGAATTAGGGACTTGCATAAACGATTTTCTGTCGGCTAATATTGCCATGGGTTCATCGAGGCTTAGTACCAAACTACAACTCGTCAAAGAGACAAGTGAAGTCGATCCTCTGACCGATTGTCTGCTAAACATATGTAGCCTCTTCTTCTGTCCTGGGCTATTCACCTACCCCATATCCTCCTATCTCGTCTCCTATAATACTATTTCTTACTTGTTGTGTGATGTGTTGATGTGTGCCTTTTTGAGCGGATTAAGTGACACCTATTCACACTGTTCGTTGGCTTCCACATCTCCCCACTGTGCTGGGAGTGTGGATCCGTATTTGCCCTATTAGTCCGCGATCCTTTCCTGTCACATTCTCCGTCTTGCTCCGGAGGATAAGTATCTTATCTACTCTCCCATCCCTAATGCAAAGTCTGTGACTTTCTTAGGCCCTAGTTTCTTGTGTGCAGGCCCCCAATGTGATAGTTCTAGTGGTGTGAAGAGGCTTACCGAAGATATCTTCTTTTGGTTTCCGATTCTTCCTCTCTGATCTCCTTATAATATATTTTCATAAAATTAAAAATATTATCTTGATCTAGTGGTCTTCTCATTGCTGATCTTACTGCTACCAGAACTTCTCTCTGTTTGGTTAGGCAATATGCAAAGTTTATCAGATTTCTTTCGATCAGTATATTCACGTTCTCTCGGATCTTGCCTTTTCTCGTATTTTCACCATATACAGCCAGACTTTCTGTCGATTCCCAGTCGATCTGGTGTCCCACCCGTGCAATGTGTTCCGCTATTTGGCATCTTTCCGTATCCATGCCTTTACAGAGTGCTTGATATTGCTTGATTCGTAGGCTGATTTTTCTTCCTGTTCCACCAATATTCTTCTGCTCACAGTTGCCGCATTTGATGCTATAGACTCCCAAGCAATTCAGTTTGTTAACCTTCTCGTGGTACGTCGGTGGGCGGATGAATAGTGTTGCCTTTCCTTTTATTACCTTCTTTATATTCCATTATCTTAGTAACGGTCGCAATTTTTGTCTCAGTTCACAGGGGGGCAGACATATTCATTTTTGATCATCCTCCCGATTCTTGACCTTATTTTCATAAAATCCAGTTTGATGTTTGCCCTTTATGGCCCCTATATTTATTTGTATGAAGTCCCTGTTACTAACGGACATCCGTGTCACTTTGTCCAACTCCCCGTCTTAGAACTCAGTGTCTGTCAATCTTACGCTTCTGATGATCAAACTTTTCAGTATTCCCATCTTTAGTCTGTAGTTTTGACGAGACTGAAAAGTGAGAATTATTCCCGTATGTGATTTCTTTCTGAATAGTCTTCC